GGCTCCAAAAATGAAAAGACTGCTACAGATAAATTTTAGAAACAAAAGCAAATCCAAAGTTAGACAACAGCATGAGAGTGAGACAATCCCAACTATTGATATCTGCATTAATTAATTCAAGGAGAAAATCAGGGAAGGTCCTTGTTAGGTATATAATTAGGTACATATTAGGTATATAATTGTACAAACAATTGAATATAAATAATGATTATTACTTAATGTATTACATTTTTATTGCTTAATGTATTACTTTTTATATTCCTTTTCCCCTCTTTTGTAAATCTTAAATATAGTATGCTAGCTTTTAATAAATATTTTCCTCGTGAATTCATGTGGTAGTGACCATCTCAAAAGCAGTTGCTACTAAGGTCACTACACACTTCTCCCTTTCCTACAATATGTAAAACTCTGTTCTCTCCATTTTCTCCTTTTATTTTATCTCACTGGTAGTTAATGATATAAATAGTGCAAAATAAAGATGATGATAATGATGATGAGATATGCTATGCATACTATGTTTTCATGATGAAAATACTTTCCCTTGCGTTCAGACCGTTATGATTACAATTTCATAATATATCTTATTAACACATGCATGAATTGGCATATACTTATCTCCCTTGGGAAGGGGGGACTCCTTAAATAAAAGGGACTGGGGTGCTCATTGTACCTTTTAGGTCAACCTCATTCCCAGGCCCTTTTCCCTTAGCTGGGGGCCAGCTTAGGGAAAAGGGCGTAGGAATGAGGTTGCTTTTAGGGGTTAAAAAAGGTGGGTTTGGAACCTCTTAGGCTGTTCAGCCTCAAAAGGTCCACAGTAGCAGCTTCTGTGATACCTTTTAGGGCATTGCACCAAAAATATGTGAGAGTGCGTTGTTGTAGAATTGGTGTCTCTCAGGTGAAAAAAACTTTTATGCCACGCCCACACACCAGGACTTTGGTACCTCCTTAGTAATTCTTTTAGAACCACTTCGTACCACGAATGGTCAACACTCATAACAGCACGTCTCCCTGTAGCCCGACTTAAGTTCTTGGATCCTCTTGTTCCTTAATAAAACAATTAATCCACTCATGCTTGTTGGATATGAGATGATTATAGCCAACTCAGCGCTACGTGCCTCATTGGCTATCCATCATCTCCTATCCAACGCGCGCTCATGGAATAATTGTTAGTTAGACATATTCAAGCTTTTTTACAAAGGCTGTAATGCTTCTCTCCCAGACTCACTGTCTGGAAACACCCTATAGTTACTCTCTGAGGGGACATAACCTATTAACAGTATGCAAGTTCCAAACAAGATACAGCAATACATGAAAGACTCACTTAAATATTGCAGTGCTGTGTTATGGAACACTGTTTTCTACTTTAAACAAGAAGTCGGACACAAGATAATCTGAAAAACCACCTACTCACCAGAGACTACCTAAAGGAATTCAAATTTGGCATACTTTCCATTTTTACTGCTCGCTTTATAGATGCCAATTTTGTTTTTACTTAGAAGTCCAAATATATATTATAACCTATTTTCAAATTTAGGTTATAATTATTTCCATAATGTGTAATTTTCCTTTTCCTTTACACAACCCCCCCAAGCTGGCAGCATGAAATATTGTGCATATTATTAAACAAAGGTCATCCTTCCTGAATAGAGAGCCAGAAGCAGAACCCATAGAATTGCAGCATATATTATATAACCTTGTATATTTATGCTGACTGATGTCAGTTTCTTTTCTGTAATGTAAAGTGGTTTCCACACTTAACTTACCTCTTCATGCTGTTTCTCCATCTCCAATATTCTGTCATTAACTCTACAATATCTGAAAGAGGAACAATTTACAAACTTTACCAAGCACTTTCAGGGCTCGACACTAACTTTTCAACTAATTAGCCAGGTGGGTAGTGACAACTTAGTTGTTGCCGCAATGTCAGTTTGTTTACTAGCCAAACTGGCTTCTAGGAATCAAAAACCACGAGCCAAAACTGAATTTGTGCTAGTCTGTGGCTAGTTAGCTACTGTTACAGTCGAGCCCTGTACCTGTCACGTCAGAAAAACACATAACAGGATAAAAACCCAGAGCAAGAAAATCCCTGTTAATGCAGTGTATCTGATTTCATTAATGGCTTACATGTAAAAGTAAGAGGTATAAAAAAATAACAACAAAGGCAAAATCCTAAAAATTCGGTACATGACAATCATGCCACCAGCACTTGTGTTAGAAGGGTCTTGCAGTTTCAGCTTCATAGAAAAAAAAAACGGAAGTTGCTTGTAGTCTCACAAACACTTTCTCTGTATGACTGTAACAATTCTCACAAGCCAATATTGTTGAATGTACATTCACTATAAGCATTCAGTAAGTCAGTACTTACAAGTCCAAAGCTCTCTCTTGTAGTTTATTCTCCTAATCTGCATGGAGAACATGTTTAGCATAATGCAAACTCCTTTTCAGGTTTTCAATGTCCTAACATGAAACAAGTAAATGTCAGTGATCAATGAAGTGTAGTGTAATAACAGTTCAACAAGAAAAATCTGTGTTGGTTTAAAAAAATTTACCATACCTCCCAGAGTGTTTGTTTGATGGTTTTAGTCCAACCTCACTTTTCCAAGTTTAATGGGTTCTAAAATTCCCCTATGCCTTTGCAATAATTTTCCCTGCCCTAAGTAGGTTCTTGGAACTTTCACTTTTCCTTAGCAGCTGTTTCAGGTCTAATTTCCCATTGAACTGAACAAGTATTAAGTGAAGGTTTAAAGGAGAGCATTTCCTCCTCTATCTACCCTCCTCTCCCATTATCCATTCTGACTCTCTAATGTGTACTCTGTAAGTGCAGCTATTTGTGACAGTCATGCAGTTCATGTTGAAAATGATGCTGAATTAGTTACAAACTTAAAGGGAATTAAACTTTGATAATGAATCCCATTGAGCTTTGATATACATGCATGCTTTTCCCTTTCTTTGCATAATCACCATACCAAAATAACTTTTACTAAAGCTAACTGCTTGTTTTTTTATTTTATTATTATTATTTTCTTCTTTTGGTGTCAACCATTTATTTATCTTAAGTATCTTAACTTTGATGGTAATGGTGCAGTAAAATCCTAAGCTTATTTCATTATATACCTTGCTGCTTCTGTATTTAGCCATACAACTGTCTAAAATATTAGTCAATTAACACTGACCCTGACAAGATTTTGTAAGACTTCTGTCATCTCCTTCAGCTGTGCTATTTCAGAGGCATCAGTTTGTGAAGACCTGTCTTGACTGAAGTAACCAATGCGGACTTGGTCTGCAATAGATGGTCTGAAGAAAATCATTAAGAGGGTTAATTTATATACATACATACACAACCAAAGAGGAAGAAGAACAGTATCAGCCTTTTAACATCTGGAAAAAATACATAACATAGTTCTGAAAATCAGACGTGCAACCACAGTTTTTAATAGAAATTTGCTATTCAGTGTACATTTATCAGATGGGTTGTAATGACAGAGTTGGAGTCAAGGCTGAGACATTTTAAAAATTGTATGGTGCTTTTCAGCCAAACTTTTTCTCTGGCTTAAGCTAGTTGTTAGGAAAATAAAAATGATTTGTAATCTTTGCCAATGAAGGAAATTATGCACACAGGCAAAGTGAAAAAATGCGTGACAATATTCAGCATCTTGGGGGTGCAACTTTATTTTTTGCACCCTGAATTAAATTAAATTTACATTACAAAATAGTAATAAAACAAATAAAATAAAGTGCATGGCTGCCCAAAATTACCACCAGGCTAACAGAATTGAGCAGCCATAGGATGCAGCTAGGAATTTAGGCTGCAAGCTGAAATTTTAAGTGAGGTGCCTCATAGATGCCATGGAACAAGAGACCCAGCCTCAGGTAACCACATTTAATTACCAAAAATCCAGCCTACCATCACTGCTATTTTCAACTACTTTACACTTGGCTGGATCTGTACTCATTTCCCCAGCCAATTTTGCCACCAATTTAAAACACATTATCACGTCAAAGTTGAAAGTAGTAACACTATTAAATATACATTTGTCATAGGTAGTTTACATTTTGAGAGGTTTAAAATGGGGAATGGAAGGAACTTGCATGTTGCTTGTTGTTGCTCTATTCCTTAAATATTTCAATTCTCTTCCAAGCAACAAAATGTTTTGAGCATCTTTACAGTGTTTCCTCAAAATTTGTGTAATTGATCAGTTTGTAATTGTTCATTTTCCTACTGTAGTTTATTTTCAACTCACTGCTTGGTTCTCCTATGAGTGGAGAGTGTTCTTAGCTAATGGGCATTTTCCATCAGCTGGCCCATACATATAACTCAAATTAGAGCAGGTGCTCTCTTAATTTTCGTATTTCTGACACTCTACATAGCTCTGCGTTTAAATACTCCAACAAATCAGTAAGCTAACCAGCTGTTCAAAATCTTCATACACATTGATGGATCACTAAACAGCCTGACACAACGTCACCTTTTATACCCCAGTGATCTCTCCCTACCTGAGTCGGTAAAGAATTATGCAATAATCTAAATCGTCGCCATGGATCATGGCGATGCGTCAGTCACGAATACGCGGAGGATTTAGAAATCGGTTGTGTAAATATGGAGAAAAGTACCAGATCGAACAACAGGATTCTGTCAAAAAACGCGAATACAGAAACAGAAAAATGAAAAGGTGACTCTTGAGGTTTCTGAGATTAAACGACCTATTAATGACGCAATGAAAGTGAGAAGACAGTTTTGAGATCCCTAAGCTTGTAAAGTTTTGCACAGCACTAATTTCTACATCAAAAAAATATTTTAAGGTTCCGAATGAAAACTTTGTTGGCATAGACATATGAAAGAAATGGAACGAATTTATTAAAATTCAAGCCAAGATAAGGTCGACTCAATTATCTTTTGTTCAAAAGCAGCTGCGAAAAAACGCCCCCAGGTTATCAAATAAATGCACAACTACGATCAAAAGTCGCCCTCGACGAAAACCAAGAATGAAATGTTTTAAATCTACCTGTATTCATCCAGCTCCATTAAGGCCCCAGAGAAATGCGTAAGTGCAGGAGAAATAGATCCTGGTCATGACGATACACTTTTCCCAACTGTTGGTGACATTTCAGGCGTTTTCAACGGCTTCGGCTCCGCCGCCATGTTTTGTTTTCTTCAACTTGCCTTAGTAACCGCGTTCTGCCTCTTAACGCACCCAACGGGGGAGGGGTAGATGTGACACAGGGTATTTCAAGGGGAGGATACTCAGGGTTCAGCCGCCCCCACTACAACAACAAGAACAACAACACAAACACAAACAAACAAACAAACAAGCAAACGAACGATAAAAAACAAACAAACAAACAAAAAGGAAACGGGGATGGTATCGGCACCAAAATGCCATCGTCTGTCACAAAAGAGACAAAAGAGGTGATAGCTTGGCAGACTTTATTCAGCGAAGTGCCATTGATTGATGTCAAGAGCATATAAAATCTTCTTGAACTTGGAACTTGTACTCCCAAATAGCTAGGCTAACGCTGATATTCGAAAATACTCGGTGTTACTCATTTTCAAAATACTGAGCTTTTCATTTATTTCTTTCTTCCCCGGGACAATTTGCAAGAAAAGTTACAAAACAATGGTTCGAGTTTTTTCAATGTTACTCAGGTAAGGTACGGTTAATGATTTAATAACCATAATGCTATATTTTTTTCTAGGGGGGAGCAACTTGTAACTAATAATCAGATAATCAGTGTCGGCGTTTGCGGTGGATATTTTCTTTGTAAAAGCCAAAAGAAATGAGTTTATATCTGTCAATATACCAAAGAATGGCTGTTTCGTTTAGCAAATAGGCGTTGCCTCTTGATGACAGATTTTTAATTACAAGACTTGTGATTGACATTAATTCCGTACAGTGTTTTAAAAGCTTTAGCTTATTATGTTTTAAACCAGTTTTCAGAAGAATCGATAAGAGAGAGAAGTTCTTTATAGTCTGTTCGGAGGTTTTTCTGCGGGTACTCCGGTTTTCTCCTCTCCTCAAAAACCATTATCATTTGAATTAAATTATTTAATTTAGAGTTTATTTGCACTTACACATGACCCCACAAGCTGTTCAGCTTTAAACATTATCGTGTCTAAATAAAGGTGTTATTATTATTATTATTATTATTATTATTATTATTATTCGCTTACCTGAACCTGTCAACCTGAAGAGTGAGACTGTTTTTACCACACAGAAGTAGGTTTCCAATTACGTTTTCTGAATTTAATTACGACATAATGACTTGATTTGCGTTTTTCTGATTTTGAATTATAAATTTATTTCTTTTAGATCGAATAATTATAAAAGCTTGGATAAATATTGTACGGTTTGTGGTGGTCGTTACCATGTGATAAAGAGTTTTCCTATTATTGTTTGCACTCTTTGTAAACAGTTTTTTTCCTCAAGTTTATTACAGTATAATCAATATGAGTACACTATTGATGGGGGGGTGGGGAGGGTGGCGGTGGGAGAGGGTGAAAGGATTTTGAGGGATCACATCGTTTTCAGGGGCAACAGAGTGGGGATCAGTTGTCGCTAGCAGGGTATAAAGGGGAGACTATGGAAAAGTAACTGCCGATTAATTGCTACTGAAGAATAAGAATACCACAAAGCCTATGGGGGATCAGATAATTTTATTGTGACACAACCAGAATAGCAATTACTTGCATTTACTTGCAATAGCTGAGGTGTGCTTCAAACCTTTGAAAGTAAAACCTCTAAGGGTATGCATCACATCACGCCATTTTTGTTTTGTTTATCATCATCATTTATTATTATTTCATAAAAACATACATTTAAAGTCGGACTGGCCCGCATATAGCTATGCTAGTCTAGGCGGTAGCCAGTCCAAATCGAACTAGATCGAACTGGGTGTAGCCAAATCTAAGATTAAGTATTCGCTACGGCTATACAAAGTGGTATCTTAGAGTGAACCGTGTTAGAACGTGAAATCAGAAAATTTAGTTCATATTTGCTCTCTATTGTCTCAGTTCAGTACAACGGTATCTACAATCCAACAAAAAAATAGCTTCGGCCTTAACTTAAGGAAAGGTGAACATTACATATGTGCATAAAATCAATCCTTGTTGATAGAGAAATGCAATATCTGCCACAATTTTTTGGGGCTCCTCAGTATTAGGTATTAATACAGCGTATTCTGTCTTAATACTCTTCTCTTTACATATACTTCGGCATATGACTCAGAGAATTTGTTTAACAACCAAGCTAGGAGCCTTCAGTTAGTAACCAAGTCCTTTTTTCTTATGACTTAAATGTTTGATTCACAACTGATAGCAGCGTCAGGAGAAATTTCATACTAGTCACGTGATTGGGGCAATAGTTTTGAACAACATATCTTGAAGGCGACTGTTGTTATTCTATCTTCTTGCAGTATTTCATGTTAACAAGAATTTTATCGAGGCAGTTGTTTAATCATTATGTCCTTATTAGGGTCGTTGCTGGAATTATTTCAGAGAGAGGGCTACGGTTATCAGCTTCGCCTCGTCTTACATGAGGTAGTTTATAGGTCCAATATTGTGTATCAGCGGGTTTGTATTGACGCGGATAGAAGAACGGGCAAATGGAGTATCTTACGCTAGAAAGATTCATACCCTACAGATTCTTCGAATGTGTGCATTTAACACTCAAATCAAAGGGTTTGTATCTTGTTGACAAAAAAACTAATGGTTATCTCGCAAAAGGGATGGGGTGGGGGGATGGGGTTAATAAGCCTCGTAGCCAGACCTTCCGCGGCCATACATTTCAGTTACAGTAACGCGGTAGGATCTGGATACCAGTTAGGAGTTAAGAGCACCTCACCAGCCCCCCCTCCCCCCTCCCCTTACGTAGTCATGCTTTAACCACCTAAACTCAACCTCCGCAAGTGGAAGCCAACTGAAAGATTGACCTTCCGTGCCACAAGGGGCCGGCTAAGTAAACTCCCTAAATAATTTTTGTTGAGTTTCAGCATTTCGAAAATGTCCAAAAGAAAGAAAACCCTGGCTCATTTTCACATCAATATAATAGATAAGCAGGATATCTCGAGCCAGATCTTTCACGGTCAAGCGGTTGTTTCATTTCAGTTACAGTTACGCGGTAAGATCTGGGCGCGAGATTAGTAATGAGGTCATAATAAGCCTGCGTGTATAAGTAGGTCAAAGTCCAAGATAACAGGAAGCAATATTGAATGCAACAAGAACAGCAACAACAACAACAAAAAAAACAAAACAAACAGACGAAAGAATCATCCCAAGCCAGCTTCTGTGCACCTGCCCAACCGTTTGGGATCTTTAAATTGATTGTCTTTTGGTCTTCAACTTTCGAAAGCTTGCATTTGTTTGATTAAATAGATATTTTGGTTAGGACGTTTGTTTTGGGGGAAGTAATCGATTTACTTGCATATGCGATAAAAGAATGGAGCTCTATATTTCGGCTGGCCAAACCAGCCTTCTTCAGGTGCAGTGAAGAAGGCTGGTTTGGCCGAAATATAGTTCTCCGTCTTAAAACTTATCTACGTTGTATCGGTCTTGCCTCTATATCTATATTCGTTATTTTGGGCCGATTAGATCACTGCTGATCCAACGTACAAGAGAAGGATTATCGTCCACGGTTGCTTGCTAAACATTTCACAGATAAAAGAATGGGCGTTTTTTTTAAATGATTAGCTGACTTACGGGATTATTCTGCGACCAACTTTCCCTTTGAGTGTTTTTGGCGGTTTCCTTCCTATCCTTCTGAGCGGTTTCCTTTTGCAAATAAACGTTGGCTGGACACTTTGGGACGAGTGGTTGACGCAAGTAATTTGATAGCCGAGTGAAGGTATATTGGTTACAAGACAAAATGGTCTACAAGGAAAACAATTTCACGGGGTTGAACAGTAATTCTCATATTTTACAACTCCCTGAAGGTATTTACACTCTTTCTACGCGCACATTTTGCTTACGCGACGTTTAACCTTTAGGGTTGAATGATTATTCGCCACCTAGTTCTTTTTTAGCCTTTCTCCTGTTGACAAAACTTAAACAATTTGAGGTAGGCAGGTGGTTCGACAACCTAAATGGAGACTTTGAAGAACAATAGAAACTCTAGATAAACAGTAATTTCGTTTTTCTATTCATAGTAAACAAAATTTCGCTTAGCAAATAACGAATGAAAGTGTTTCTATTGAAAATCTAGTGGTCTCTGAGGAAGAAACAGCCACACAGAGCGCCAAAATGTCCAAGGCGGTCGCTTTGGTATTCACTGCTATCTACGCGGTTCAAGCAACCATCATCATCATTGGGAACACCTTCACCATTTTTGTCTTTTGGACTCAACGATTCCGTCTTAAACGATTTTGTTACCTATTGATCAACCTTGCAGTTTGTGACTTACTCGTGGGAATAACAGAACCGATTATTCTCGGTGTCTCAAAGTTTCAAGGAATGACTGCAGCTGGACGCAGAAAAGGAGGAAATATTAAGAATCTGTGGAGCCTTTTGTTTACGTCCACGCAAGTGCTCGCCTTCACCACGTCCGTGTTTTTTCTTGCCATCATCTCACTGGAACGTGTTTATGCGGTCTTGTGGCCTCTTCGTCATCGCGTAGAAAAGACATCTCTCTACATTTCCAGCATTATTTTGGTTTGGGCCGGTGGACTTTGTTTGAGTAGAATGTCTTTGATGGAGATGTACCACCCAGACGTAGAGAGGAGGAGTGTCGTTGTCGCCACTCACATATCTCTTTTTATTGCTCTGATGATTACCTGTGCCAGCTACTTTACGATCTGCTCACGATTGCGGAGTAAAAAAACAGCATCTGGATTGATGGTCCAGCGCAACCAACAGTCTTCTTTGCGACACTCAAGGACATTTTTCGTGGTAGTTGCTGTGTCACTGGTTTTTTGGCTGCCAGCATTTGCTGTGTACATCGCGAAAGAGTTCTGCTTGTGCTTTCCGGCACCTGTGGTTTGGTTTGCAAGTGCTCTCCGTTTGGCAAACTCTATGGTTAATCCCTTCGTGTACAGCCTGAGGATGCCTATTTTTAAGGATGCTCTAACTAAGCTGTGGAGAAGGCATCAGGGAAAAATTGAACTCAGATCTATCCGCATAAACATCACTGCAAAATCCAGGGTATAAAATGTTGTGCCGATAACGGTACGAGAAAGTCTTTTTTGAGGCCCGTTATCAATTGGGTGCCAGAACCGTCTTGATTTGGAAACACAACAGAATTATTCGCTCATCATCGTTATTTATTAGATACTTCGACTGTTAAATAGTGTGCCTCTCTTCCTATGCTTACCTCATAGCCAATTTAATTTGTGTATACATGTATATCCTGATTCCGTGAACACCTAGAGGAGCAAACGCGAAGCTCGAGCGACTGGTGACGAGTGTGAAAGACAAAGTCCGCGTTCCTTCCTCTCATTTCGCACTCAAATAATGAGCCCTACTCTCGATCCAACAGGAAAAATATTTAAGAGGGTCTTTAAAGTTTTGGTCAAAAGTAATGAAAATGAAAATTCGCAAATTTCATTCTTTGTTAGAACCAAATTTCGTAGAAATTTCCCAACAAAAACATCTTTTGCAATGTTTCACGCAAAATTTTTCCACAGAAAGAGAACAAAATTCACCTACTAGTCATATGGTTTCGCTTTTGGTAAGGAAGATATATGGCAGTGCATAGCGCTGGCGTTGAAAATCTTGAGGGAAAGTTCTTGCGCAGATAACCGCGCTCATGCTGGAAAAGATAAAAATTTTCGTCAAATAAACAAATTATTTCCTCACATAATTTCATTGTAAAAATTATAACTTGTTTGATGCATAGGAAGATTTTGTGTTTTCATTAAAAAAAAAAAAGAAGGAAAATTTTACAAGATTAAGATAACATCACGAAAACCAAGCTTCATTTCCAATTTTTTTTTTTTGCTCTTAATTTTCCAGAAAATTTCTCAATTCCCCTCTCGATCATCCAAAATAAAGTAAATTGATACTTTTAAACTGTATCAATATTTTTTTACATATCTTGACGATAGAGAAGAAGGAAAAAAAATAAACCACATTAGCGAAGGACATATCTAACATATGTAAAGTAGAACACAGGGAGTTCTGTCTGCTTTTTTAAGCACCATTATTAGCATGTCTTTTGGCGGCGTTTGCTTGAAGTAAACAATGAATTTATTTGATACACTTTTATTAAAAAACGGCTCGTTAAACACAATATAGAACATCTAACTCTCAAGGATTCAAATGACAGCTTTTAAAGCTTTCTCCAATTGCGGCCGTTTTAATGTCGGTGTACCTTTTCTCCAATGCCAATATTAGAAGTACTTTGGTAAGCAAAATGATTTACTTAGATGTTATATTTTAATTTCAAGCATTCCTCGTAATTATAATTTCCCTTTGGTACAAGCCTGAGGTAAGCTGTAATATTGAGTTGATGCGCTAAGATGCGAATGCACATTGAAAAAAAAATTATGGTGTGTTAAATAATATTTCATGAAAAATAAAGTAAGGCAATGACTAGTTTCGTGCATGGCTTCAATTTATTGCAGTTACCGCCACTAAAGTGAATGACGAAAAAGAGGAGTCTGGGATTAATTAATGGTTAATTTAGAATTAAATGCTTCCGTGGTCCGACTTCAGTTTGACGTTTTTATGCGTTACCATGATTTTAAGCCATTACCAACAATTAAAAACTAATCTGCGCTCAGCGTAAAGACAGTGCAAACCGAAATGAATGAACTCTCCTTAGGATTATGTAAAACTATTGACGTGTCCATTAGTCGAAAGATAAATTATAAAAGCGGTTGCTCGAAAAGGTTCACCTATTGAAGGACTCGCACAATAACTTCGTCGATAAGAACAGATTTCATGCATTATACAGGTGCTGTTGAGACGTTATCTGCCATTTCGAACTGGATGTTTCAGAGCAACACACCTCAGTTCCTTAAAGGCTTTGACACTGAGATTGACTCAATCTGCATGGTAAGAAAATTCATATATCTTATTTAAATGTTCGTAATATTGTTGGTTAATTATTCTTTATCGCTAGCGATTGAAAAGCATGAAGGGACTACTAACAGCAAAAAATAATGATCAAATCTACTGCAACAGGCATTTTCAAGAGAGCGGAATATCTAAGAAAAGGAAAATCACCTCGTTCTTGCGCACTTTCTAGCTCAAAGGCTTCTGAAATGTACGAGGTCTGAGAAAATCTGCAGGTTAATTTCAACGATTGAAACTAAAAGTTCTAGTTTTCGAACACGCCTCGGAATAAAAAAGATCGTACGAGTTTCCCGATGAAATTCAATTCAATTTGCGGGATTTAGTCAAATTTTTTACATGCTTTCCAATGTAATGATTTTTAGTCTTGGGTACGCGAAGTGTACAAACGA